TAAGATAATACAATTAGTATCGATTGATTTGACCATTCAGAATTCCAGCAGTGTGATTTGAAGTCTAGTAGATTTTAGCTTTACCAGGATTCTCAATCCCATAATTATTACCAAAATGCCGAAACCTTTTCATAAGTCAGCATCTTAAGTGATAAAGCCACGCTTGAAGTATAAATTTCATTAAAATATTGACAACTGTTAATGCAAGCGATGATAATAAAGCGAAGGGTTTAAATTATGGCGTTTGACATCAAATTGAAAATTCAATATTGAAAACTTAACTGTTAAATTGATATAATCCCTGAAGCTTTACTTGGTAAGTTTATATTGCATTACATTGATATGGATTTTTTTTATCATTGTTCCAAGATTAAACACCCGAACAAACAAATCTTAAACATAATTTCGGATGTAGTCACGGAAGTTCAAATGTGATAAGCGTCTACCTACGCTTAAAAAGTCCGTTCAAAAATTATAAAACAAATGATTCGTCGTTTATGAGTGTAACAATTCGTAGAAGTTTATACGAGTTTGCAAAGCAAGCAACCGTGTAACAACATTTTAGAAGGTAAAGTTTGTAAAGGATATAAAACCTAAACAAACAATTTAATCTCATGAATAATAAATATAACGGTACATGGTTAATCAAAATTTATGTGTTGAAATACACTTTTGCATATGTTTTTTCTGTAAACTAATATTTCCTTTAGTTTGAGTTTTATAAAATTCAACACTGACAAGAGTTACCTCCTTTAGCTTTAACTCGATTTCTCTTTAAATTAAGTTATAACTTCATATGTCGAGCGAGTATTACTTTGTAACAATGTAGTTGAAACTTCGGCAATATGGTTAATAGAATTTAAGCTTTCACATGATTCAATGTCTTACATCCAGTCTAGAGAAACTTTCTCAAGTTTTCATTTACCTCGTTTCTTTGAATTGATAATTAGTTAACGTATACCAGTAATTTAAAACGCCAATAGCATATTGGTTTGGGGTACGGACTACCGATCTTGTGGTCGAGGGTTCGAATCCCGCCATTCGTCTATTGTGAACCATATCCTACCACAAGCCTAGAGCTTAGTTGGAATTGTTAAAGGAAATATTAGTAAATTGACAAGAATGTACAAATATTTGTGAAAAAAATAAAAAGTAATTGACCTAACAAATTATCCATGTCACAGACTCACGGATTAAAATGAAAAAAACAGTTATTGAAAACGAAAAATAACGAGTTATTTCGGACTTTTGTAAAAGCGTTATGAAAAACTTTGAAAAAAAGGATTATCAAAAAAACATTTAAACTATGTACTTGAAAATAAAATAGTATTTGTTCAATTCCTTTTTGTAATTAAAATCATAATTAATATTTACTTTGTAAGTATTTTTGCCTCAATATTTTTTGTATAATTCCTTTTGCTTTATGGCTTTTAATTAAATTGTGGTTTCACTAAATCGTTTGTAAATGTTTTAAAATAAATATTGAAATTGCTTTATTGTATTTAGCTAGTAATAACACTATCACAATATTTATTTATACTTTTACAACATCGATGCTTTAAATAGTTAATCTGTTTTAAAACCTAAATATTCGAATCTGGAACAAAATAATGTTGCGAAATTTCATCATGATTTTATTGTAATTAGGTCAATGTACGTATGATTTGGCCCCTTAATCTTAATCTTACATTTTCTACTTTCCGCCTTTTCCTAATAAAATAAATTATATCATGTCGTGTTTATACTCAGAAAAACTTTAAAAGAATTATATCCAGAAGTCGACAAATACATAGTGAATCATAAATCAACATAATCGACTGTTATTTATCACATAATACATGTTTGTGACAAGAATTATTGCCATAGTTATTTATAGAAAATGTTTTTAGGTTATGTGATAAGGAAATCTATTACTCTAACTGCTACACTTAGATTAGTTTCAAAATTGCATGTTTACCATAATTGTGCGATTCACAATAGCTCATCTGTAAATGGTATACTAGCTTTTGCCCGCGACTCCGTCAGCGTGGAATTAAAGAGAAAACTAAAGTGAGCCTATGTGTTCTTCCAGGCTATCATCTACGTCTGTACCAAATTTTATTGAAATACTTTCAACCGTATAAAATACAAATTCTAACAAACATCCATCCATCTAAACTTTTTATTTAAACGAATCTAGCAGACGAAGTCAGCATGAAATTATTATTTATCAAGTTTATAAAAACACAAAACAAAGCGTGAATTTAAAGGATGTTTTTCCTGTTTTCTTGTATTCATAAATAAACAAAAATAGAAGCAAATTGTAAGAAAGGTAATCAGTACAACCGTTATAACAAAGACGATTAATTTTAATCACACATTAGTGTCGTGAGGACGGATTTTATTGAGCGTTTACTGTGACTGACTACCCTTGATAATGTCTACGTAATGAAATTATATTCTTTGTGTCATTAATTCGTTAACGGACGAGTTTATCGCATCGTAAAACTCTTTTATTTATCTATTAGTTGTTTTATTTAAGTATCAAGTGACATTAAAAACGGCACCTTGCAATTATATAACTGGAACAGGTCTAAATAGTTTAGTTACGACTAACAATGGATACTACAGTCTCTAATCATACTAATATTATAAATGCGAAAGTCTAGACGGATGAATGTTTGTTAGAGTTTGTAGCCTAATCGGTTGAATTTGGAAAAAAAAATATAGATGTAAATAGTCCTTTACGAACACATAGGCTACTTAGGTACTTTTGTTTTTTTTTTTTGAACGCGGCGTTAATCGCGTTCGAAAGCTATTTCTTAATGAAGGCATTTATTACCATCATCATCAGCCTTTGTTATGTACCTATTTCTGTTATTCTGTTTGTGTATTTTGATACTCATTACTGGAGTCATAATTTTAATTAATGTAGCTTTCATTATTGCGGGAATATATCAAAGAACTGTAAGAGATTGTATCAGGTGCAATTTTCCTAGGAAAAAGTATACGTTATGTAGAAGTTGTGTCGTAGAGGGCTCATTGTTTACAGACATAGGTCAACATAAAGCGTTATGAGAGTCAACGTCCCCATTAACTAACCGTGGACTACGGAGAAAATATATAAAGGAAGACTGTATATGTCATACATGTTTATGGTCTATTTGTGTAAGAAAACTTTTGTGGAGAACATAAGAATTAATTAATACCGTGGGAGTCGCCAGCCAACGATCTAGGGGAGTTTAAGTGCGTGCGTCATTGGAGATCCCGGAACCCTAACCTATTTGATTAGATGATGGCCACCAAGAGTTTCAATGGGTCAAATCCCACTAAAAAAAGGTAAGACTGGTGGGAGACTTATTTAAAAAACTACCTATAAGTACCCTTATCGAAGATCACAAAACATAAGACTATCTCTAGCAGTTAATAACGAAAAAGTATGGATAGTAAAAATACAATTTACTTAATATATTGCTGAGAACTGGTTATTTGGTCTATATTTATAAGAAAGGAAACAAAAGTGCCGTTTAGACAAATATGTAAAGCGGGGGAAGACAATGTTCGCAGGAATACCAGCCGCGCTAGACTCGGTGTGAATAATCAATGAGCGGGATAGCGTTGCCGACGTCAAAATGTTGGCAATTTCAGACACTTCCAGCCGTTTAACTGGAATAACGATGATTAATCTAAATATTCAAAGACCCTTCTCCTAAATGGTGCATACTTAAACATAATGCCACTAAGAGCTGAGGATGTTTAATATTATTTAAATTCTTAAATCTGTGAGAAAAATAATAAAAAAGATTAGATACCACGTTGTGTATTATTTTGTCTTGTAATTGAATGTGTTTACTACAAGTATACAAGTTGATGAATGTGGAAGCAGCGAGAGTGATGTTCCAGAACCGCACATAACGAAAATTCGTAACTGTCTGTTTTACTTTTTCGTAGGTTTGTTCTGTCGCTTCTAATAAGGTTAATAGGGTTACTTTAAGGTACTAGAAAAATGTTAACCTACTCTTCAGGTAAGTATTAGATTTTCTAGTTTCCGTAATATCACTGGCAATCTTAATATGACTAACGATCAATAAATTCTGTTTTAATGTTAGTAAAGCTTCTCAAAACGTGTCCCTTGTGTGTTATCATTTAGTTAAAATGCTTCCAGCTCGGATTTCATGTTCTATCATATTTACATCAACCATGTTGTGACGTCATTTATAAATTGGAGATGTTATGTTTGTGAAGTAATTTTAATATTTATGAAGTGTGGAGGGTACGCTGGTAGAGGTAGAAGAGATGGATGGATTGCTTGTGAGGTGATTTAATCAAGAAGGTGGTGCCTGAGATGACGGCCGTAAATCCACCGCGCCGCTCCTACTGCAGTAGGATAAGTTAGGAAAGATGATCGTCAGAACACAGTAAATAAAGACAAAACATGTAAATGCGTCTTTCAAGAAGAAAGCTCTAGTCTCTCTTTGAAACACACACAACCGTGCTAGCTTTATTTTTATGCAATGTTTGCTAATCCACCGTAAATTTGTTTGTGACGATGTATACCGCGTATTCGCATCACCGATCGCTTTGTACGCATAGGAGCATATGTTGTCAACATGTCAACAACAAACATTTCACTTCCGTCTGGTTAGTATCGTTTTCAACATCATACAATTGCGAATATGTGTGAAATCATGATAAGGATGTTTTCGAATTAATATTACACTGTAAAGGGTGTAAAAGCGAAATACGGTTCAGTGATTTTTCTTAGTTTTTAAAGTTTTCAAGCTACAATTTAGTTTTTTAAACTAAGCATGTTTAAAAAATAATAACAGTGAAATAAGGCGCATTTGATTTTATATCCTGAGGGGTATATTGGAAATAGGAAATGTTTTCAGTCGTTCAACACCATAGACAATAATTTACTTTTTATTAAAGTATGTTTACAAACTTTCGTCATGTCCAGTTATGCAGTGGTTGACATAAAAAATTTAAAAACATAAATGTTGTATTCAATAAAACAAAAATTAATCCGTTTAGAAATTTTACTTTCGTTAATTACTGCACATTGAGATCCACATTGAATCAGGACAGTAAAATTTTCCAAGTGGCTAATTTGTATAATAAATAAAAATCTTAAAATTACAATACACAGTTAAAAAAACAATTGGATGAAATATTACAAGTGCTAAAGTGAATTTAATATTATTAAACAGTTAAACATTATAATGAAGATTTCTACCCTTATTATTGTACTTATTTACTTTAATATGTTAAATTTAATTATTGAAAAAAAAAAGATTTGGCGAAAATTTAAAAATATGAACTAAAATCCATCCAATTAAACATACCATATTTTTAACATGAACAGGATTTTACGTATGTTGGATTTTAAAAGGTTTCTAATCAAAATCGAATTTCATAGGGAATATCAGATTTACATCACAATTCTTAAAATAATGTGCGAGTAAAGTTTTATAAATTTCAAGAGAAATTCTTTATAAAAAACAGTATCGAAAAACGAATATCGAAATTTATCTTTAAGAAAATGTTCATCATATCTAGTACACAAACAGATTCACAAACAAAAATTAACACCGACAAACGAGAACAATCAAACTCGTAAGTAAATAATGACTCAAGTATTGCCACAAAACGCTCTTTTGTGTGTTTTTCACCTGCACAAGTATATAGACAAGTACATAAAGAAATTAATATACAAGAATTGTGATTTAAATCAGTAAATAAGTACATTACATACTCAACAAAGCTGCAAATGAAAAATCGCACCGAGTAACACTTCTTTTAAGAAGTACACGTACAATTTTCATATTTAAGGGCCGACATACACTAACCTTTAAGTCGCCATACACGGACCGCAGTTTAGTCATAAGTCGTAACAAATCTGTTACTTTGACCATTCCAATACGTGTACGTCGGCCCTTATACCACAATAAAAGTTCACAGATAGCTTTAAGCTACACTAACAGTACAAGAGATCTCGACATTAAGTAGGTCATATAATTTTTCATACATTTCCACTAACTTGTAATTCATAGATAGAATTAGAACATCTAGAACTTTCCGTATGGAGTAGAAAGGTAAAGTTGGCATAAATGTCTACTAACTCTTATTAGTGTGAAATATTAATGTTTTTAATATATAATTTTACTGGGAGGTGCGGGGCTGTTAGTGCTCATAGCCTGCTCCAGTGTGTCCAGTCTGCGGTACGCGTGTCCGCGACTGTTCCTGCGGCGACCTGACTGACGACCTTCTATTATCAAACCTAATACCTAGATAAACAATTAAAACAATCAAACACTTCATTAGCTTATATACAAGACTAGGCCTTAACTACGATGACCCACTATGAATTGACTTCAATATTTATAAATTTTTTGCTGATATATTCATATATGAACCAGTAAGAACGTCGGAAAAGTGTATATGGGAAATTCAAAAACCATTGCATGCCGGGATTCGAACCCAGGACCTACAGACTACAACAGACTTACTAATTAACGCGGTATATAGTTAAACTTAGGAATAAAATGCGAAGGTTTAGAATAAGTTGCCAGCGTCGGTTTTTCCGTCCAGATATGACTTGGGGGCCTTCAAGAAAAGAGTGAATGAGTATTTATTAGGGTAGCGCGTACCATCTTTCGACCAAATCTTCACTCTCAGTCGGTGGGATCGTGGTCAAGCGCTAGTTTAAAAACTTAAAAAAAAATGTATAAGCAAAATTTGTACTAATATTTGCTCATACTTAGCTTATTCCTAAGATTAACTTTATACCACGTTTATTTGTACGGCTGCAATTGTTGTAACTCCTTAGCCACTGATGATCTTACAAACACTTGGAATTAAATATGTATATTTCATAAGATTCAATTTTAGAATAACAAATAACTGCTATCCCATTTTCGTTTTTATTTCGTTTTTTTATTTCCACAATGTTTAATCTGCTATGCCTTTGTTATTTTATGCTCTGAATGAATTAAATGAGTTATCATTATTTTATATTAGGGTTGTGGACTTTACACTCTCACATATTTGTCCATTAGAAAAATGTTGTCAATACTCCAGAGATGGCTGAATGCTGAGACATCTCTTTAATTGCTTTTTGGTTGTATTTCATTTATTAAAATAAAACACTGATTATTGTCTAAAAAGAAATTATTTACACTCCTTGTTAAAATTAAATTAATAATTAAATTTGTTTCTTACCACTTTAGTAAATTTGCTCTTGTTATGATACAAGACGTAAAGCAGGACCACAATAATCACTGCCGTTAAGAAGAATGGGAAGAAATGATCATCATCTTCCGCAAACTCATCTTGTGGCATCTTGGAAATGAATTCTGTAAAAAAAAATTAACAACTTAACATCTTGCTTCAATACTTATTGGTGGAAAATGTATGCATAATGTATAAATATTATAAAGAACTATAAGAATATCTTTCAAAAGTTCCTTTATGCTTTATTGTATGTGCTTAAAACTTAAAACTACAACTTGATAATATTAATAAAAAAAAAACAATAACCTTTGTATGTATTCCTATAACACCATCTTTTAACAAGGTTCCTCTAAGAATGTACAGTTTGAACTCTTTAGTTAAATTTATATATGTGTAGGCTAAACTTTAACCTTACAGTTCAATTAAGAATAATAATTTTGCCTACACACGCAGCTTTTACTGAACAGTTTGTCTGTTCAATTCAAAATTTTAAGTTAGAACTGATCGTATCAGGCTTAATCAAACTGATATTATAAAAGCGAAAGTATAGATGAATGAATGGATGTTTGTTAGAGTTTGTAGCCTAAACAGCTGAACAGATCTCGGTGAAATTTGGCATAGGCGCAGAGGATAGTCTGGAAGAACACATAGGCTACTTGCATTTATTTTAATTCCGCGCGGTCGGAGTCGTGGTAGTGTAAGAAAGGGGAACCTTTTATTTATCTAATTCTCCACAATCTCTGATACATTGAGTTTAAAAAAAACACATTAGTGCTTCAAATACAAAATATAAACATATGTGAAATAGATGTGTAGTTTTGAATATAGAAATCATAACATCATTATTTAAAACCGTGAATACAAAGGCATGAGTAAAATGAATTACATAAATATTAACAGCCTTGAAAAACATATGAACACATAAAAACTCAGAACAATACCATTATACAGCGATGAATTCACTTTTATGTGTATGATGTTTATTTTTTTATATTATCAACCAAAAATTGTATTAGTATAACTAGTAAAAAAGGTTTTTTTTTCAACAAATTGCTACAAATTATTTTGCAAGGATCATTATTGATTTTTTTTTAAAAAATAAATAAAACACATGCTTTAAAACAACTAGCAAATAATTAATTTAAACTATTATAACACACTAGCTTTCGCCTGAGACTCCGTCCGCGTGGAATTAAAAAAAAAGAGTAAGTAGCCTATGTATTCTTCGAAATCTATGACAAATTTCATCAAGATCCATTCAATAGTGTAGGCTACAAACTCTAACAAAAATCCATCCATCCAAACTTTCGTATTTATAACATCAGTGATCTCACTAATCTAAGTAAGATGTTATAAGAACACTATTCCTATCTCAGTTTCTGTTTGAGAAAGAAAGAGATGGCAGATACAGATATAATACAGATAACTAAAGTAGTTCAACAAAAAAAAAGTTCAAAATACCTACCTCCAGATTTATCTCCATAAGCTGTTATTATTGGGGCAATACTTTTAAGATTATCCTTTGGTTTTTCCTCAACAATTTGTTTATCTCCTTGACCAATGCTTATTTCGGAATTATCTTGAAGCTCGGGTTTTTCATCTTCTTCGGAATCTGGAAATTTTAGAATAAAATAATTAAAGTATAGTCAGTATCAAGACAAATATATTGGTAGCCTTATCTTTTATATGTATTAATAGCTATTGTTATCTCTTTCACACGGATAACAGTAAATATTAACACAAGTGTAAATTATATTGTATTCTGGTTATATCTACATTTAATTTAGTATAAGTATTTAGTGTCCTCCATATTAATATTAATATGAATATTTAGATGAATGTTTGTTAGAAGGCTAACTGATCTCAAAGAAAGGCATAGATGTTGTAATACAGATAGGATATTTGTTAAGTTTTTTTTAATCGGCCTGGATGTGGTTCAAAAGCTAGTATTATATGTGTGATAGCTATTTCTTGCTACTTTGTAAACATAGAAAAAAATAGTAAAAAAACATAGCTAGTAACAGTTTATAAAGAATTTTTGAAATTAGACATTTGTTTTTGAGTTTCAATGCTACACAAAAATAAATCTATAGACTTTTTAATATTAGCATAGACATGGATAAGAATTATTTCTTTGTATGTTATGTGCAGGGGTAAATTGAAATAGTAAATAGATTTTGTGCCCATAGACATATTGCACAAAATTGTGCAATATAAGTGATTATGTTAAAAGGTTAAAGTGGTATATTGCAAGATTTTCAAACATTGGCCAATATTGTGCAAATTATGTTTAGATTATTTGGTCCACTGTAGTATAACTCAGTTTATAGTTTTGTAAGATAATTATTGTGTGGGCCATAAAAATGAGATAATAATCCATTTGATTATGAACATTTCCCAATGGTACAGTAATGTAAATATACTGCCTCTAGACTTCTATGACTCCATTTGCATTAAATTAAAAGTAAGTAGCCAATGCGTTGTACTAGTCTATCCCAGGGGATGTTTTTTATAGTTGATCCATAGATGTAGACATCTATATCAAATGTAATTAAAATCTGTCCAACCATTTAGGATACAAACTAAACATCCATCCTTCTAAACTTTTTGCATTAATATTAGTAAGACATACTAAATATAGATAATTGTAAAAGTTAATAATTTTTTTTTGATTCTCACCCATATCATCTTCAATATCTTCATTAAACTCTTTGTCTTTTATCTGATTGTTTAGGAGCTGATCTTCTTTTTCAACATCCACTTTTTTAGGAGGTTGCTCTTCTTCCAATATTGTTTTATCATCATCAGATTCGACTGATACTTTAGTTTTCTGAACAACTGTTGACTTTTCAATATTAGTTACCGCTTCATCAGTTTTAGGTACAGTAGGTTCAATTGTTTTCTTCACACCCTCATTTACTTTTATAGCAGATAGCTCAATAGATTTTTGATCTACAAAATTAGGATTAGGTTCCTTTAGTTCTTTGATTTCAGGTTGAAGATTTACTTTAGAAGTTTCAGGCCTAGCAGGATTGGCATCTTTAATTTCATCATTAGAGCTTGGAATAATGTTTTTAGTAGATGAAATAACTGTGGTGTTCGCAATAACAGGTTCAACGACCTTTGTTTCTGTACTAGTTACTACCGGAACTGCGGGTACTTTCGCATTAGTTGGAGATTTCACTTGTGATTCATGAACTCTTAATTGAATGATGTTTAATACCTCTGAACCCCATTTATAATATTTACAAAAGCTGTTGCTGTCATCACTTGTAACGTCGGCCACTTCGCAAACTTTATCACATCGTTTTTTAGTACTGAAAACATCTACAGCTATCTTTTTATACAAGGGTATGTCAGGAAAGTTTGTAAATTTCCAATTTTTAGTAAAATTTGTGCACATCGTGTCCAAATTAATTACATTCTTCAGATTGTTTATCAAATCATTTTGTTGTATTAAATTGGATTTTCCAATTGCGTCGCAGAGCTGGGTATTTATATCGTAAAAGATTAAGCATTGCATTTCTTTAATTTTAAACGGCGGCACAGTTACATTGCATTCCAAAATCTTCTCCTTGATTTGTGATACAAGAAACTGGTTTTCACAGCGGTTTGCAAGAGCTTTGAGCGAATTATCTAACGAGTACACAGTGTGGGTACCAATGGGATTGCCTAAACTACGATAGCACGTATTTATTAATAATATTGTAATTACAAAACGAAACATCGTAATCTTTTTTGAGATTATTGTTAAAAAGGAAATACAAAATCGATTTTTCCACACAACAAACACTTTTATACAAAGCAAATATATCGAACCTCACTCACATCTCGTATCTGACATTGACATAAACAGTGTTGTCGTTGTCGGTCCCAATATTAAAAAATATAAATCATTACAAAAATAATATGATTTAAGTTGGAAAAAACAATGAACTGACTTATTTCATAATTCTCTCTTAGTTGTTTTTCAGAAAATCCATGTATTTTGTGATACTGCTTGACAAAAACAAAAGGAATAAGTTCATGACAGTTGTGCTCATCGCGTTGCGCTATCTATTGATGCAACTGGATAGATGGCGCTGTCACGATTTTGTGACAGGAGGGTGTTTTCGTTTTACTGCTTTTTAATTTCAAGGATTATTTTCAAACCTTTCCTTTAAGACATCGTTCTATAAAATTATTTATTAATTATTTAACCAAACGGTAATTCAAAGTATGAAATGATTTTGTAACTGTCACTGAATACAATAGACACTAGTTCTATCTAGTTTCTAGTTGTTTATAAAGTTTTTTGGAATCTATATCCTTTTGCAGAAATTAAACATTTTTTTATTCGAAGTTTCAAATAAGAAAATATAATATTTATACGTCGAAAATAATTGCATTTATAAAACGATCCCATATTAACCGAATGTATTACTCTCTAGCGAGCCGGTCTTTTAGGCAATTCGCAATAACGTAAAGCTAATGTCCCAAAATCTCCTCGGGATAATTCACACCAAACTGCGACGTTGCGACCCTATTTAGTCGCCCTCTGCAATATAGAATGAAATGGCGTAGTTTTCCTCCTCGTTATTTTTGTTCTATCAAATAAAGCAAATGAACAAGATTTTCTCTTAAAAAAAATAGCGTCTTCATATAATAAAAAAGTGTTTTTACAATCATTCTATTATAATTAGTTAATAGTGCTAGTTATGAATCTTACAAAGAAACCATCATATTTCAATGCTAAAAATCAAATATCAGGTAGAAAATACAGAAAATTCTAGAATAAAGTTAAGAGTTCGTGTCAGTTGGGCAAAGAATTATAAATAAAACAAATTGAAACCAATTTGTGCAACAGAAAATATTTGATTTGCGCATTCTCCGACGAAAAAAATAAATCACGACGTAAAACTTTTTAATTCCATTATTCATGAAGAAGTTAGGAAAATTTTTCAAAACACTTTATTTTTCTCGTCAACTTAGCCTATTTAAAGTTACTGGCACTTCTAGTTGTTCTTCCGCAATATTAAATCGTCGATAAAGTATTAAGTGCATATTTTTTTAAATTTCTTAGAGTATTTAAGAATGTATGCAACTTGGGTGTTATCAGGCAAGTGCACGATGTGATGTCTCCTTATGTAGGATGGAGTGTTTAAAATTCAAAGTTTATTAAATCATGAATGAATAGATGAATAATTTATAACTTTTGAGACGCGGCAATATCATTCTCGCGAATTAAATAGTCGCTATGGCTTTGCTTTATAGATTATGGGTACAACAAAGTCAGTATCCCTCGCTTGATTCGCTTAAGTCCTAGCAATTTTCTTTGGGTCATTGTTTCCGTGCAATAAATACCGATATAGTTACCGACCTACACAACAAAAATTATTCAATAGTATATAATAGTTTCAGCGTAACAAGGATTTAACGAAAAATAACGTTGTAGGTACTTTATGAATAGGGAAAAATATTAAGAAAGTTAGTGGTGCAGTACGCTTAGAATTTTCCCTCGTGAATGCAGCGTCGTTAGTCGTGTTTAACCTAGATTAATGTTATGTGTAACACGTTTTTTTCTTTTTAATAAACAAGAGTTTACCTGGAAATGCTTCCGACCTACAACTTAAGATTTACAATGCAACGGTCATGGTATGTCTTGATAATGTTACCAGTTTGGTATGTACATAACTTCTGGTGATATTTCTTGTTTAAAAAACAATGAGGCTATTTTAACTATCTATGTCTATCTAAATGGCAGAGGTAGGCGACTGTTTTAATTTTTTTTCATATTTGGCTATTGTAATATTTCCCAAACAGGGAAAGGGAAACAAAGTCTCCACATTGTGGAACAATACACGAGTTTTAGTGTTACATTACGACATCCCTTCTGTTATCCCGTAATTAGCAGTTTTTGACGAAACAGTCGGCTCCAGGAATACGTAGTGCTCTTTTATGATAACTTTTGAATAAAATAACATACACGCCCATATTCTATCCGGACATGTGGATATCTCGTACAAAACAAGTCAATGTAATAAGAGTACGTTTTTATTTTCTTATGGAATAATATTGAAACTGCTACTGTTTTATAATAATTTTGACTTATTTGAATATAATAAAGACATTAATTATTATTTTCTCCTTTGCATCATTATCTCCCCTGCCTTATCCTACTCCCGTAGGGTCGGCGCACCGGGTTTTCGTCCTCCAAAGCGTATCATCCGTCATCTCAGTCATCACTCCCTTCTTGATCATGTCACCTTTCACGCAATCCATCCATCTCTTTCTAGGTCTACCTATACCGATGTACCCCTCCACATTCATAATTAACGTCCTTCTTGTTACATGCGATTCATCCATGCCCATACCACTCTAACCTTTTACTCCTTATTTTCTCAACCACTGGGGATACTCTCAAACTTCCTATTATTTTCTCCTTTGCATTGAACTAAAATCTTTTCAGGAGACTCAAAATTTGGTAAATTATAGTTCATAATAATAAAAGGTAACCGATCCATATCTAACAAAAGGAAAAAATGACCTGTTCAAGGTTGGAAGAGTTTATTAAATAAAAGCGATTTAGTGACCAGAGTTTTATGATTCAGGCGATTGTACGTATTCTCGAGCTCATTAGTTTCCTGTCCATTTCGGTGAAAAGGCATATGACGCACGCATTGCAATTAGGTCGAAAACTAGAAACAGTTCGCGCTAAATTATACCCATTATAGTGACAGTACTCTGTACGATGTTCGATACTCAGTCAGGTGAGAAGTTAATTTATTGATTTTACATGTGTTTATTACTGGAGGTTTAATATTTGTTATACCATTCGATCGCATGAAAATTCTGACGGAACTAAAAATATTGCGAGATATTTTTAAATTATACAGTAAAGCCTATTCTATCATTCTAGACTCTTTGAATGAAAACATAAATTCTCTTTCACGTGCACGTAGGCTCGTTCAAATTTCATTTATGAAATGGACACGGAAATACTCCTCCAAATGAACGTAGCATAAAAAACCATACATATTTCAAGTACGCTTATTATGATTAAAAGTTATTCGTATTGCAGGCATTAATGGTAGAAATGTTTATGTTATTTTTAGATTAAAGTCTACAGTCATTTAGTACGATTTAACCTGAAAACTAAAAATAACACGAACACGTAATAGAGTTGTAATAATACTTAATACTAATATTATAAAGAGAAAAACTTTTTGTTTGATTTTAATGAAATAGGCTATTTCCTGGTATCTATGGGTTTGCAGACGACAGCACAGTGGTAGAGAGATACCTACCAATCGGTCGAACCAGTCATGATCAAGTACAGTCTGAACGCGAGTCTTTGGTAGAGCGTATTAATCGCACACTCGAGGCTGTCTCCATCTGGGGAAATGCCAATCTTG